GATAAAAATCTTAAATGTTTGGGTTTTGTAAGTTTAATTGTTAAATCCCACATTTCATCTGCAAAAGTGAGACTTACTTCCATGTCCATATAGCATTGCATTTTCACTTTAAGAATTATTAGCGGGACACCAAAATGTCACAAATTGGGACCCTAATTTATGGAAGTACCCATGTCTCATAGAAGATGTAAAGCCTATCAGAAGTGCAGAAAGTAATCTCCCCCGTCTTGAATGCCTGCAAATAGTACCATGCTCGATTTGGTTTGATTATCTTGAAATCGGTAAGAATGTTTTTGATGTATTTGAGCTCTTTTGTGTACTGATCGATGCTCAGCAGACCCTGATCGTGCTGAACCCATGCGATGATAACTGAATTATCCTGATATACAGCAGGGTAAGGGTGATTACCATTTTTGTGGATGTTATGAATGCTAGCACCAGACACATCGTTGATCACGTGTACCTCGTCACAACCATCCTTGACGAGAATCGCTTGACAGGATGTCATCGCAAACATCTGCCATGGTTCAAATCCCTTACACGTTATCTTTCTAACGGCCCTCCCGCCTTCTGGCTTAAATGCCTGTATTTTCATGCTTTCATCGTAACCTATGAAGATCAGCCCATCTTTGCCTACAATGATCCCGCCAAATGTACCGTTTGCAGCATCCAATGTCTTAAACGTTACATCAACCTTTTCCCAAAGCTCTGTGTACAAGGAAATTCTGTTATTAGTGTCGCGTATGACGTATCCACCACCAGGCATGAAGTGTAAGGCACGAACTTTAACAGATTTCAGAACGGTATCTTGTATGATGCCCCTAGAAGAATATATGAATATTCCTCCGCTTCGACAACCAACAGCAATCTCATCGTTTGGTGATATTACCATCCCGCTCATGCGATTTTTAACAGGCAGCGGTTCTGTGCACAGAAACCATCGGGACTCCTTTTGTCTTAGTTGGCCCAGCTGGAGTCCGTCCAATCCCTGACTCCTGAAGCCAATTCTTTCACCTTCCTCAGCAGTTCTTCTGGACAGCTCCACATCTGGCCCATTTCTGCTTAGAAGCTCTTCCAGTTGTTGACACATCGCTTTGTGTGAGGTCAGAGCCCCTGTCTGAAGAGGAAAAATAAGACCATTCTGAACCAAGTCCAAAACTTTCTTAATCTGGTCTGTCTGCTTACGACCCGACTTCTCCATGTCTCCCAACGAAGTCTCAAGTTTACCTAGCTGGCCGTGCTCAACTTCATTTTTCAACACCGTCTTTCTTTCATTCAATATCTGAACGAATTCTTCAAAAGTCTCATCTATTTCATCCTTGAGTTGTTCCTGTACGTTATGCACCCTTTTACGCTGGTCTTCAACGAATGTAACATTCTTGTCAACGTCATGTATCTTTGCATCCGCTTTATATGCAAGTTCCTCGGTGATATTTTTTTGCGCAGTTTCATGTACGCCTGCTTCCAGGACAGTGTGAACATTCTTTACGTGCTCATATATTGCACACTTGCAGCAGACATACCTGTTACAGTTGATACAAAAACATTCTTCATCGTCGGTCGGATGCTTTTCACATTTGTTCCATTTTCTTTTCACAGATTTGTCTCCTTGATTACAGTTGGAAGAGACCTGGCCCTGGGTCTCCACATCTTCAACAAGTGACCTGACTGTTATGTTTGGTTGCAGTCTACCCACGTCTCCACCAGGAACTGAAGTCTCCCCCCTGCACGTAGGACACAGCAGAACGTCTTTTCTCAAATGAGACTCCAGGAGAGACTCAAGACAACCCTTGCAGAAGGTATGGGAGCAGGTCAGGATCTTGGGGTCCTTGAAGAAGCTCAGACAGACAGGACACTCGAGGTTCTTATGGAAAGCCTGCTTCAAGAAAGTAGCCATCGTTGACAACTCAAACAGACGACCTGTGAAAAAGACATATTAGTGAATTAATTGGCCAACTTAATACAAATTATGAAATATTTTGTACTTAAGATGGCTAGTATTGCACTGGAAAATGCGAAATATACATGTTATGCATTCCATGATTAATAGGGCCAACTCGGTACAACCAGGGATATATGTGAGTTCCCTGGTACAACATTTTAAATTGCTTTACACTTCTTCTTTAGAACTTACGTTACGAAGTATTTCTAACGGCGACTATGCTTTCAGGTAGAGGCGTATATGATAATGTTTCCTTCAGCAATGATGTTGTACGAGTATATTTTTAATCGAGTGGGAATTCCCACCGACATTCATAACAGGAAGTAGAATGTTTAACCTTTGCACTTGTGATCCTTCCGCTTAACTGAACTGTTCACCCACGCACATCTCACCAATCCTTGCCATTATAAAATGAGTATGATTGTGTTTTCCCTTAGGGGTGGGAAATCCCACTGATATTTTTGTGAAACGTATCGCACTTCTACTATCTGGTTTGGTACTGTTTGGTTATACAGTCATATGTATTTGTATCAGTTTCGTATGCCATACTCGAGTTATGCGTACCTATATATCTTGTATTCAATGTGGGATGTGTACATTGAAACTCAACAGGGTGATATAAGTACATTGTAAGGAACTTATCACGCTGTACCACGCACATTTTGCCACTCTCATCTCACCTCTCTTTTCCTTTCCATTCTCTTCCATTCTGATCTCTCACATCCTAATCTTCTCCCCTCTGCCACCTCTCCCTCCCTCTCATTTTCCTTTTTATACCCCAACTCTGTTCAATTCTTGCTCCCTTCGACTTTTTCTCATTCTCAATGCAATATCCGTGTTCTGTTTTCTCATATCTCCGCTCTTATTACCTTTGCTTCTCTCTATTTCTAAATATCTGCTTTGTTTTCTGGTTGCCCTGCCCATGTTATTGTATTATACTGGGCTTTGTTGTCTCTCACTGTTGTGTGGTTTCTATTTCCTTCTTACTTTGTCATGCACATGTATTGCTATATTAAATCATTCATATTATTGCTATATTAAATCATTCATATTCATTTCTTACATATAGACAAATTAAAGTATTAATTTCGCCCCCACCCCCCCCCCCCCCCATTCAGAAATACAGCTCACCCGCCGCTGCATTATGAATTTTCCTTTCTAATTTGTTTGGCAATATTCGTTTTAGACCTGAGAAGGCGTAGGATCTAAATAAAGAAACAAATGGATAAATGAACAACGAGAGATATAATACAGCATTTATTAAATGCTTTAAGTGTTCGCTTTTAATTTCTAACGCTATTAAGGGCAAACTCTTTCATAAATCTAAACCACAACTCTAAATATATATCAATGCGCGAAGTTTGATATTTGAAATATGAAGATGTTTGTAATGTTCTCATATTATAAAACCGATGGATACGACGCTGTGTATTATAGATCAAGCTCGATAGCGATGGATAATAAAATGGAGGGACCCCCCCCCCCTACTCTTTAGAATTTTTTTTTTTTTTTAATCCCCTGACTTTAGGACATAATGCCGATAAAACCAGTTAATATGCGATCCCAAAGTGACACATTTGCCGATATCAATTATAAATTGCTTATAGAACATTTGAGTAAGATTAGGGAAAGCTAGAGCTAGATAAAATGTATTAGTCGTGATACAAATCTTATCATTGACACCCTGATATAAAAAACACTGTGTTAAAACAATCGATGTCTCTTTGTAAGAGTATTAGTTACCTGATAGTGTTGAGGAGGAATAACAAATCATATTGCATGTTATGCAGTTGTTTTTTATTGTTAATCTACATTTGACCTTTGTATGGAGCCCCTTTTAAAGAATCTGCACAGGATGAATTATTGGTGTGCCTCTCCCTCCATAATCTGGAGGAAAAAAGCTGACAAACGATCTCCTGCCCCTATGGACTAATATTTGATTGAACTTCTTATTTCCTGAATTACAATAATTTTGAGTTGAACAAGAGAGTCACCAAACCTATTTCAAAACGGTAGCTCAATGACAAGGCTTTGTGAAACATTCAAAGCCCTTCCAAACATAAAATGGTCTACTGCCATCTACTGACGCCTTTTCTCATCTTTGTTTGATAAAGAGTTTATTGTTTTATCAGTATCGATAATTGTGGAAGAATGGTAAATAGGATCAGTATAAGAAAGCATAAAGATAAAAAGAGTATCTCCATGACATATGGTACTCTGAGATTATTTTTTGTTTAATTACCTGCAAAAACGACTCACTGGTATATTGGTTTCCTTGATCCTTTGTTTATTATCTAATTGATTATCGTATAATGAAAATGACTTTTCTCTCTTAAGTCGTAAAAGACCACTCGGTGACAACTTTGGGGTTCCTTGTCGAGTAAATTTACTCTTTTTAACCAACAGGGTTGGAAAGTGATAGTAGTTCCAAGGCCTTTGCTTATACGCTCTCAAAATTGATAGTCAATAAATAATGATGATAATGATGGTAATAGTAATAATAATAATAACCTCTGGATTGATGAAGTAACAGCCATAAACCAATGTTACTTGATATTATCAAATAAATTTGATAGTCAGGTTTGGGGCTTACAATGATTAGAAGCCTATGTGTGTTATAAAGTAAGTAATTCTGCCGATATTTTGTTTTTGGTTTGCCTTGTAAATTGTGGTATCGCAAACGTTTCAAGTTTGAAATCACAGACACTGAATATAAACATTTATTTCACAACGTATGACATAAACAAATGGAGATAGGAGTGAAAGATAGAAGACATATTGGAAATGAGACGGAGAGAAAGTATCTATTTGTGTCCTCTACATTTTAAAATGCAACTTTTTTTCCATTCTAAAGGGAAAAGGAGTAATAATAACGTTGATTTCATGAAAACCGAATATTAGAAACCGCGGGAATACGTAATTCAAGAGTCATTCTTCCTCGCGCGAAACATTTAGAAACAGGATGATTTCAGGCCTCCATTTGTGGGCAAAGAGGTTAGTAGTATAAGGATGTCTATGGAGTCATAACTTTATTATTTGTTTTATGAATTATGAATTATGATATGAAATATGAAATATGTAAATCCATAACGTGTATGAAGTATAGATATGAATATGGATCCATAAATATGCATAAATTATGAATAAATTAAGATTAAAGACATGGATGACGTCACACCAACGACGTCATGAACATGACGTCATGGAGATGACGTCATGCTCTATAACCAACCATGACGTCATAGTATTGCGTCAGGATTGCGAAATGGGGGAGGGTCGGCAGGCCTGGACTTGCAGGGACGTGACGGGGCAGGAAAAGGAGTAAAACAAAAGGGGGAAAATCGAGGGAAAAGCTATAAAATGGGGAGAAGAAATGCCCTTTTCATCAAACCAGCGAAGGCATCCACAACTACGAAGAGAAAATTACATCGAGGGTAGACGAATTACAACGAGGGGAGACGCATTATGGCTGGATATTATAATAACACCTATGACACACCCCTAGTGTCGCCCCCAGACAGGAGAGGAGAAGATCGACACGAGGCAGATTCGATGTATTCTGAAAATCCTTTGTTTATAGCCGATGAACAAGCCTACACGGAAACACAGCATTACCGAAACCAGGATAGAGAAAACGATCAGCAAAAAGAAGGGGCGGAGCCCTCTGACAGAAAGCTGAAATCATCCAACCCCTACCACGCTGGAAAAGACGAGGAGGTAAAGATGGGCTGGACTGCAAAACCAGAAGACAAAGACGACGACGTGGAATCGGAAGTGCTCTTCAAATGCCCAATCAGCTTGAAGAAGGACCGTCCAAAATATCTCGTGGTAAAGACATTCCGTAAACGCGTGTACGTGGATGTCAGAGAATATTTTGTGAAAAACAAAGAAATCCTACCAACCAAAAAGGGGTTGACTTTGACCATGGCAGAATTCCAAGCATTGTGCAGGGAAAGACTAAACGTCCACAAGGCGGTACAAGGAAAATGTAAGGGTTATTAGAGCGAGTGTAAAATCCGACCAATATTTTACCAAACCCCAATCACTAGAATAAAGACCAGTCATCAAGTCGTATAACCCTTCGTAAACATACTTCATTATCAATGATAAATCCCTACCCCTTCAAGACCGGGGCGTGTCAACAACTATTGTTTCAGAGGGGAGGCGGGAGGATGAAGAAACCCTCAAGAAGCCCTTTCGAGTTAATAGACCTAGCCAAAGTACTATTGTCTTCAACGATAAAATCCAAATAGAACTCCATTAAGACATTTTTAAAATGAAGCCGCACTGCCTCTATCCTTGGCATAAATATTGACCAGTTGAACTTGAAAAGGAACCCGTGATGCCTCTATCTGCGTAAACATGGTTGATTACCATTAGAGGATGAATCACAGCTTCTCCAAGACCGAGGCGTGTCAACAACTATTGTTTCAGAGGGGAGGCGGGAGGATGAAGAAACCCTCAAGAAGCCCTCCCTAGTTAATAGACCTAGACAAAGTACTATTGTCTTCAGCGATAAAATCCAAATAGAACTCCATTAAGACATTTTTAAAATGAAGCCGCACTGCCTCTATCCTTGGCATAAATATTGACCACTTGAACTTGAAAAGGAAGGCGTAATGCCTCTATCCGTGGTATAAACATTGAACTGTTTATACACTTAGACCCTCTAAAGAATCTTGTGTGGAGTTTTAGGTATAAATACCCCCTAAAATATAGCATCTAACCACTCATATTTTCCAACTCTTGGGTTGGGTTATGAAGGGTGACTGAAACCATTACATCTGTAGAGTTAGAATGGCTGATCTAACGCCCCAATCGTCTTCGCAACGCAGCAACCTACTTCGAGAAAATCTTGAAAATATACTCACCACTTTATACAACTTTACTCCCTCCCAAATACAACCTGTAGTTAACAGAACCATTGATGGGGTTCGAGGTCTTGCTCAACGTTCACCCGCAATACATCCTTCAACGGAAGATAATGCAGCAACATCAGCAACGGTAAGTGAACCTAACGTAACTTCAAATACTTTAGTAAGAGATGTGGGTACTAAGTGTAACCTCGCTAGCCATGGAGTTCATGCAGCTTCCGATATCGAAAATAGGAATTGGTCCGATGATGAGGATTTTGTTATTACAAATCCCAAGACGGGTAGAGGTCAAAAGCGGCGCCAAGCTCCCTCTTTCAAAAAGGTTTGCGATTCAAAATCAAAAAAGTCTAAATTGAGTACCAAAACAAAAAACAAAACCAATAGACTAAAGCGTTCAAAGCGTAAGGTCCTTGATTCACCACAGCCCATAGATCCAGCCGGAACGTTCAAACGTAGAGGGTGAACGGGCTAGGTTCAATGCTGACTGGGATATTCCAGCCCCTGCCCACCATACGGGTCCCGGTACAGATTATGTTTCGAGCCATGTACCTCCACCCCATGTCAATTATTTTTTCTCATCGGACGAGGAGGAAGAAGCTGAAATTCAAATCCGAGAATCAACAAGAACTGTTCAAAGGGGTGGTATGAAAATAAATTCTAATCCAGAGACGATTGATAAAACAAAGGGTGGTAAACGTAAAACAAAGTCAAATCATCTACCCACTAATGACCTTCAAAATGATGAGTCATCCGGTCCAAACATTGTTCATGAAGACTCCTCCATTGAGGACGAAGAATTATTAAACGCACCCAGATGGCAATTTGTTGATTCTCGGATTTCAAAACGGTTTGGGGTTCGTGAATCCTGGTACGATTTTGTGGGTGACATTCAAAATTGTACTTCGATCTGTGATGTCCTTTATTACATCGAATCTTCCCTCGATGAATTGAGAACCCTTCTTTTGAGAGATACATCGGAAAGGGATTTTGTACGATTAGTATTAGTGTCTGAGCAGTTGAACGTTCCGATTGGGTTTCCATGGGCTATGATTAAGGACTTTGACATTAACGCTATTCTCGAACGCATAGAGCGTGTCCTGAATAGCAATCAAGACTTTATTTTGAAACCTGGTTTCACAATCAGGTTCCATCATGTCCTCAACCCCGTGGGTGGCTATGTACGTAAAATGGATGGTTTGAGAGATGGTGAGGCATCCCTTCGTAAAAGGTCCATCATCACCATACCCTCGAGTAAGGCGGACAAAACCTGCTTTGCGAATGCGCTAGTTATTGCGAGGTATTATGCAAATAACAATATTAAATACAAGCAATGGTCTCGCACCGACAGAGAACCAACGGCGAGATTGCAAAAGGAAGCTGCAAAACTCCACGAACTGGCGGGTGTTGAAGTAGGTGAAGTGGATTCCACGCATTATGCCAGATTTCAAGAGGTATTACACCCCGAGTATAGGTTAGTCATCTATAGAGGTCGCAAAAGACACGCGATGATATATGCCGGTCCCCCCGCAGAAAAAACGTTGCACTTGTATCTGACAGAATCGTCGCATTACAATGTCATTAAAAACATGTCGGCATTTCTGTGTGCTAAGAACTATTGTAAGAAATGTTTAGAAGTATTCAATGACCCTCGGTATCACGAATGTTGTGAAACGTGTCCTGATTGCTTTTCCGATGATTGCGATCGTAACGATTGAGCCAAGCGCTCACCTCGCACATGTTCAGAATGTCATATGACCTTTCTAACGGAGCGCTGCTTTCAGTTGCATAGCGTTACCCCCTTCAACAACTCTACGGCTTGCAATACCAAAAACAAATGCCCAAAATGCGAGCGCGTATTTGATAAAGATGTATTCCATGGGAGGGTGGATGATCACGAGTGTTCCCAAATATTTTGCAGAACATGTAAAGACTATGTAGATGGCCCCACCCATGACTGTTATATGAAAGTGACAAAAGAGAGCCCCTATTACGTTCCTTCAGAGAAAGAAGCAACAATGATGGAAATATTTGCGAACATGAAGAAGAAGAAACTAAAAAAGAAACAAAAATCCAAAGACAAAAAGTCTGCGGAGGAACATGAGATACCCGACCCGGGTCAACTTTACATCTTTTTTGACTTTGAGTGTACCCAAAACACGGGATCGCATGTTCCCAATCTCGTCCACGCTACGTGGGAATGTACCAATTGTATGGATGGTCCAACCCTTAAATCTGGGGATAACCATTGTCCATTTTGTGACCGTCATGGGAAGAGGGGGATAACTTTTCAAGGGAAGGACACTTTAGATAAATTTTGTGATTGGCTATTTTCCGAAAGTCACGCTGGTGCCGTGGCCATTGCACACAACAGCAAGGCGTACGACTCTTATTTTCTCCTCAATCATCTGATTAGTCAAGGGATCATCCCTGAAGTGATCATGAATGGGGGGGAAGATCATGAGTCTACGTACAAAAGACCCTCAAATCGTCGTCAAAGACAGTCTCAATTTCTTTCAGATGGGGCTAGCAAAATTACCCAAAACGTTTGGCATCGAAGGAATGAAAAAAGGTTTCTTCCCTCATTTATTTAATAAAGAGGAAAATGAAAATTATGTAGGTCCCCTCCCAGACAAAAAGTACTACGGTACAAATAGTATGATGAAAAATGTCCTCCAGGAATTCAATGAATGGTACGACAACATGCCCAAAGACTACGTCTTTAATTTCCAGCATGAAATTAAAGAGTATTGTGAAAGTGATGTTAACATTTTACATAAGAGCTGCAAAATATTCAGGAAACACTTCAAAGAAATCAGTAAAACCAAAACGAATGAGGAGGGTATAGACCCCTTTCTACGGTGTCTCACTCTGCCGAGTGCATGCAACCTCCTCTTTCGCACCAATTATCTAAAACCAGACACCATCGCGCTCATCCCCTCCGATGGATACACCAATCCTAAGCGCCATTCGGTCAAAGCGGGGGAATGGTTGCATTACAAGGCCCAAGAGTTAGGGATAGAAATACGGCATGCTTTCAATGGCGGCGAGCGTAAAGTTCACGGGCGCTATGTCGATGGCTACGCAGAGGTAGGGGATGAGAAACACATCTTTGAATTTTTAGGGTGTTACTTTCATGGATGTGAAGTGTGCTATAAATCAGATACCGTCAATCGGCGTTGTAATAAAAAAATGGGAGTACTATACAACGAGGCAATGCATAGGGTACAACTTTTGGAGAATGCAGGCTACAACGTGACCACGGTATGGGAACACGACTGGAATAGGGAGAGGATTGAGCCAGCGGTGATGCCTATAATTGAAGATCTAAAAGAAACTTTAAAAAATCCACTAAACCCAAGGGATTCATTTTTTGGGGGTCGTACCGACGGTTGCTCTTTGTATTACAAAGCTCAACCGGACGAACAAATATTATATTACGATTTCACGAGTCTCTACCCCTACATTAATAAGTTTGGGAAATATCCAGTCGGTCATCCGAGAATTCTACATTCAAATTTTCCACCTGTCGATCAAATCTTTGGCCTCATCCAGTGCGATATAACTCCTCCTAGAAACCTATACCATCCCGTCCTCCCATACCGTTCCTGCGACAAGCTAACCTTCCCTCTGTGTGGCGCATGCGCAGATGCGCTCAACCAAAAACAATGTACGCATTCAGACAGCGAGCGGAAACTGAAAGGCGTGTGGGTATCCGAAGAGCTGAAAAAAGCTTTGGAAAAGGGTTATTATGATTTGAAAATAACCGAGGTGTGGCAGTTTGATCGTTACTCCCAATACAATGAAGAAATGCACTCAGGAGGACTTTTTACGGGCTATATCGAGGCTGTCATGAAATTGAAACAGGAGGCGTCGGGATATCCCGTCGATGCTAAGACACCCTCTGAACGAGAACAATATGTTAAAGAGTATTACGAGCACGAAGGAATCTTACTGGACCCTAAAAAAATAATGAAAAATCCCGGTCTTCGTGCTATCGCTAAAATGATCATCAATGTCCTTTGGGGAAAGTTCGCCCAACGTAATAATCTAAGACAGACCCTCTATTTGAGTACAGCGGCAGAATTGCTGAAACAATTAAATGACGAAACGGTGATAGTACATGATATTCTCGTTCTTAACGAGCTGTTACAACTCAATTTCACCAATGCCGAAGGTTTCGTAGACCAGAATGTGAATACCAACGTCATCATCGCTAGTTTCACTACAGCTATGGCAAGGCTGAAACTATATTCGGTTCTTGAGAAGCTGGATGACAGAGTGTTATACCATGATACAGACAGTATAGTATTTAGGACGAACCCTTCGCTCGAACCCTTTGATCCCAAGACGGGTAATTATCTAGGTGATTTAACCGATGAAATTGACCCTGCTCATGAAGAATTTATCGATACATATGGGTCTGTGCAGGTCCTAAGAATTACAGTTACAAAACAAACAAGGGGAACGCCGTGTGCAAAGTGCGGGGTTTTACCCTGAACGATGCAAATTCATTAATAATAAACCATGACACGTTAAAAGAACTGATTCAATGTAGTGAAAATAGCAAACGAACGATTCATGAATCCAGAATCGTACGGGATGTCGCATCCAAGACCATTCATACGGTTCAACGAAAGAAAGATTATAGAGTAGTTTTCACTAAAAGGGTTCGAGTGGGGGATGATGGCGTCAAAACATTGCCCTACGGTCACGAGGACATACAGTAAATATAAAATGAGGTATTTATCCCTCGTTCAGACCTTTCAATTTCATTTTACCGTAAACCTTTGCACGGAGAGGTTGTTATTTTCAAAGATTATTTAAAGATGGATAGTTCGAATTTTCGCCGTATGCGACGGGACTTTGTCAGGCGTATTCCTCAGAATACATTCCGTATGAATTTTCTAATCGTTGTCCTTTTAGTATTTATTTTCTTTGCGAGCTTTTCTCTCGATATATTACTCGTGAGGCAAGTCGATGGCAATACTACAATGCCGTGGTCGTATTTAAATGCTTCTTTTCCCGAAGAAAGCTTCAGTAGTTCATTTTCTGTAGACTGAACGATATCGCTTTTTTTAAGCGGTCTTCTATTTTTTTCTTTTTACATTTGAATGTATTAGGTAATGATTTTTCTATTTTTATTATTGTTAATGTATAAGAAATTATCAAACCCACATCTCTTACTGCAAAGTTACGTTAAGTTCACTTACGACTGTTTTGGTGTTGTTTTTTTCTGTCATTATTAACCATTATTTATTTTTATAGCATGGATGTTCGACTGAGGCATCCTTTCACCATGTGTGTTGTCGGTCCTACCTTTTCGGGTAAAACTGTTTTCGTGAGGAAACTATTGAAACTTATTCCC